TCACAGATGAAGAAACTGAGAGGTAAGAGTTTAAGGAAGTTACCCAAGGCATGGGGCCAGTGAGGGTCAGAGCCAGAATGTGACTCAGGGCTGTCCAGCCCTAAAGCCTACTCTCCCATCTGTGGAAACACCTGTTGCAGGCCAACAGGGTGAGAACCAGAGAGAAGGGAGGTGTCTGTGCCAGGAAGAGAGCTCCTAAATGTCCCACGTTTGAAATACATGGTTTCAAACAAGCGAACGTGCAGTAAGCAATTCTCTGAAAGTGAAGCTCCATCTCACCTTCTTCTGTAGAACTTTGCATGTTGCAAAAGCTCCAAATGGAATCTAAGACAAGATAAAGAAGAGTAAGTGTCCCTCCTCTGACAGTTTTTAATTTGTTCTCTGAGGGGCAATCATGTGAGGGAGGGCCAGGCAAGAGGGGGAAAAGTGGGGACAGGTACCAAGAGCTGCTGTGCAGAGCAGTGCTAAGCCCAGGGGCAAGGCTGGGGAGCAGCGGTGCAGAGATGTGGTTGGTTCCCTCAGTCAGCTGGCAAGAAGCTGCCCTGCCCTGGCCAGCCCCACTTACCTTGCCCCGTCACGAACCCTTCAGGGGACTGGAGAATGCCAGAGCCTTCCAGCACCCCAGGAATCTGGGGTACATTTTCTAACCAGACTCATTGACTCTTGGAGACTATGCTGAGGCCAAGGGATCATCTCAATTCTTTTGGACAAGAATGAAATCTAAGGAAATGTCTCTTGACTAGTGCTTCTGGCCTTTTTAAAGCCCATATCTGTCTTTCCCAGGGATATGTGATTTAACAAAACAGGACAGACCAAACTCATAGCCAGAACAGTACTGTCACTTTACCTCTGAGAGCTCACATTTAGAGATGTCAAGAATGTCATCTGCCCCAGCTTCTTTTGCCTAAGGATAAAAAGAACTTTTGGAAAAGTATTCAAATAAAGCATCTTTGCAGAGTGGGCATAAAGGCAAAGAAAAATTAAGGAGCTACAAGGGTCTGTAGACATTGTCTGGTTCTGCTAGTCCATTTGGCAGGCAGACCAAGGGTCCCTGCTTTCCCAGAGCTTGAGGTCCAGCAGGGAAGAAGACTGAACAAGCAATGACAAGTATGCTCAGTCTAGGAGAAGCACTCTTTTTTTTTTTTTTTTGAGACAGAGTCTCACTCTGTTGCCTGGGCTAGAGTGAGTGCAGTGGCATCAGCCTAGCTCACAGCAACCTCAATCTCCTGGGCTCAAGCAATCCTGCTGCCTCAGCCTCCCGAGTAGCTGGGACTACAGGCATGCACCACCATGCCCAGCTAATTTTTTGTACATATATTTTTAGTTGGTCAATTAATTTCTTTCTATTTTTAGTAGAAATGGGATCTTGCTCAGGCTGGTTTCGAATTCCTGATCTCGAGTAATCCACCTGCCTGGCCTCCCAGAGTGCTAGGATTACAGGCGTGTGCCACCACGCCCGGCCTTGGGAAGCACTCTTGACAGGGGCCTCACTGGTGGAGGCTGAGTCAGGTATTTCTCTTGGGGGTAGGGAAGGTAGGTGGAAGCCTGGCTTCTTTGGGGGCAGTGTGGAGCCCTATTTCCTGGGACAGAGGAGGAGATGGGATGGAGTCAGAGGAAACCCACATTCCCTCACCAGACACATCTGGTATTCCAGGCGTTTCCGAGCCTCCTCACTGGGTTTCCGCTTCCGGAAGAAGAGCGGCATCCTTCCCTTTTCCCGAGCAATCTTCAGGACACTGGGGCACAGGAGAACAGTTAGGCCTGGGGAATGTGTCACAGCTCCCCATCACTCAGGACAGGTAGCACAGTGACACAGAGCACACAGCTGGTCTGCAGGGGCTGTGTCTGTCTCAGCCTTCAGTCTATGTCCTGGGTCTCACACAGGTGCACAGTACTCTCTGTTCATCGTTGACTAAACACTAAGCAGCAGGATGGGGTGCCAAGTGACCTGGGTTCCAGCCTACATTTGCCACTGACCCACTGTGAGACCTTGGCATTACCCTTTCCCCTTCCTGAGCTTACCAGAAGCTTCCTCAGGGCTTTTCCAAAGATGTTCTTTGAGGACTTTAACAGACTCAGCTGATGAATCACTGCTAGCCCTGAAACAGTCAGAGTGGTATCAGCAGAACCAAACCAGAGCTAGCCACGACTATGGGGAGCTCAAGCACATCATAACTAAAGAGATTTCTGAGTTAAAAAAAAAAAAAAAAAAGCCAAAAAGTAGTCCTTGCCATTACTATTCCACTTGATTTTCACCATATCCCTGTTTGGAGTGAAGAAACAGACCCTTATTAAGTTCAGTGATCTGGTTATATGGCTTGAATTATAGCAGAACCAGCATGTGTCTCTGGTCTTTCCAGTACTGATCCTGTGGAGTTTGCCCTTCCTTGGTGCTCACATAACTTGGCACACATGAAATACACTGTCCTGAACTCAGAAGCGAGGTGCTCACTGCCTGGCCAGTATCTGCAAATATCAGTGCTCAATAAGGAACAGCAATAGGCTAGGAAGCAAACATCCAAGGAAGTATATGGCTAACAGCACAGGCTTTGGGATGAAATATAACTGGGTTTGAATCCAAGATCTACCGCCTATCAACTGCATCACGTTAGTTCACGCCTCAGAACCTCAGTCTCCTCACTGGTAAAGTGTGAGTAGTAATGCTACCAATAATGGGTTCTGTGGGGATCCAATGATTTCATATATGCACAGTACATGGCACAGTACCTGGCACATAATGAGCACTCAATAAATGTCAGCCACAAAGCACCACACATCTAACAAACATTGATTCAGGGCCTACCACAGGAGCTAGGGGAGAAGAGGTTTGGGGAGGAGATGCAGTTGAAGACACACCCAGTCCCCAGCAGGAGGGGTAGAGATCACAGGTCTGCGCCTGTGGGTGTTAGCTGTGTGGGGAGGTGGCCAGGCCTGCAGAGCCAGCTCAGGGCCCTCTTATCAACCCACCTGCCAGCAAGGTTGGAGAATGGTTTGCAAACAGCTGGTCCCTATCCCTCCCTGATGACTAGTACTTACCCTCTGCTCCCAATGACCAGCCCTCTCTGCTCCCCAACGCCCCCACCCATGATCATCGCCCCCCATCCTTCCTGGAAGATCAGTTCATTCCAGTCTGTCCCCAGATGTCTATCCCTCATCCCTTCCCTCCCCGACGACGTCAGCCCAGATGGGGAGAGCCACATCCATCCCTCCCTGACTGGGGTGGGCAGTGGCCAACCTGGCTTTGTGGATGGCCCCCACGTTGCAACCCTTGGGTGGACCCGAAGGCAGGCTGATCACTGGGAGGGCTTGGTCATGGACCCGTGATCGCAGATCACCCAGCACGGACCCGGCAGAGCTGGAGTCTGGTCTTCTCCAAAGGCAGGAGCTGGGTACCGAAACTCACAATTTCAGAAAGTCATGCAGCCCAGGATGACGAAGTCTGAGACTCTGGGAACCACGGAATCTCAGAATTAAGAATTGGACTGGATTTAGATTGGAATAGATTGTTTTGAGAAGTAAAATACACACACCACGAACGGGATAGAGGGGGCCCAGGGTCCCTGGGGTACTAGAATGGGGGTGCGGACTCCTCAGGGGAGGGGCGGGGCTCTAGGATTGGGTGACAGGGACCCCAGGGTGACTCTCACAATAAGCGAGCAAGGGGATCAGCAGGGCCCTGGATCTCGGGAGCAGACCCTTCTTCCCTGACTCTGCCAGAACCACACCCTCCCTTCCGAATCCCTAGCCACAGCTCACCGCGGTGCCGGGCTCTCCAGCCGTCAGCCTCAGGCGCCTGCCCACAAGAAACATGGCGGCAACGGCGTCCCTAGGACACTGGGCGGAGACAACAGTTCTCGCGAGAGCGGCACTTTCCTGCCTATATCCGGCGTGGTCTGCACGCCTTCCGGTCTTTCGGTTTTCGGCTCGGAGGAGGCCAAGGTGCAACTTTCTTCGGTCGTCCCGAATCCGGGTTCATCCGACACCAGCCGCCTCCACCATGCCGCCTAAGTTCGACCCCAACGAGATCAAAGTCGGTGCGTGCTCTAGCTGCGGCCTGGGCTGCGGGATGGAGCCTCCCTCGCTGCGGCCCACGCCGCGCGTGCAAAGCTTTCCCGTGTGGAGCTCTAAAGCCTCCTAGAGGCCTTTCCCGTGCTATGCGGTCCTGGCCGAGTCTCTTAGCCTTATCTGGGCCTCAGTTTCCCCGCTTGTAAATGGGGAGGGAGGACCATACGACCTGTGGCGGCTTGGCAGCCCGCACTCCCTAGGGTAAGGCTTGTCTCCGGGCGTTTCTGCCCCCGGGACTGGGTTCGCCGGCGGCCGGGGCAGCCTCCACGCCGCCCCGCTTTGCGGCTCCGAGCTGCCCAGGCCAGAGTAGCGAACGCCGGGCGCTTGGGGCAGTTTTGGGAAGGGCAAAGGATGGTGTGACTTGCCGGGAAAGATGAGAAGAGAGAGCTGTGGCTCCCTCTGCAGAGGCACTAATCCTTCGTTTCTCCCAGTATACCTGAGGTGCACCGGCGGCGAAGTCGGTGCCACGTCTGCCCTGGCCCCCAAGATCGGCCCCCTGGGTCTGGTAAGTCATCCCCGCTTAGGGGCCTTTTCTTCACTTACTGTGAGAGCAAAGTTAACATATCAACTGCCACATGAGTTGTATTTAATTCATGCTAGAAGTCTGGGACCTCGCGAAGCGTGTGTAACTCACACGGCTCTTCACCTTGGGAGCCGCGTGAACTGTTTTTCAAATTGCATATAACTCACAGAAAACAATGAAAAATAAATTTTTCATTAAATTTTTCATATTCTGTTTTTGTAATTGAACACCGTGGTACCTGGGAGAAATTTTTTTTTTCTAGTGTGGCAGTCAATGTGTTAAGCTCTGACTGTACAGACACTCCTACTAGACTTGACTCGCAACTAGCAGGAGGTACCTTAGGAAGGTCATACCTGAAAAACCGAACGCTGTCCCTTGAAGTTGGAATTTACTGTCACTTACCTGCTGTGTCACTTACCTGCTGCTTTTGGTGATACTGAGGGATGGGCCCAAGGAGGTGAAGTCAGGAGTGGCTTAGTAATAGTAGGCAGCCTGTTTGCATTTCCTGGCTAGGGAAATGGTGTGGGTGAAGATCCTGGTGAGCATTTTGAACTCTGTAAACATAAACCTAATGGTTACTATAACTAGGTTTATCTAAGACCTATTTAGTCACCAGCCTCTGGCCTGCTTCACCTCCATGTTATACTCTTATTGAACTTGCAGTTCCCTGAATATCACTGTGCCGTTATTCCTTAGGCAGTGGTTTCTTATCCCAAATGTTCTTTCCCCTTGGTCTTGCTTAACCAGTGTCTTACTGCTCTCTACCTTGTCCCTTAGCTAAGGCAGCACTTAAGGGACACTTAGCTTCCTGTTTAGGCTAATGGTAACTAGGAAATAGTTTCAAAGTAGCAAATGCCCTTCCTCACAGATGGGCTTGTATTGGTCTGACATGTGAACCTAAGATCTTGAAAGTTCCCTAGGTGATTCTAATATAACCAAGGTTGATAACCCTGACTTAACCAAATGGGTTCTGAGGGAGTCAGCAAGTGAGGGACTTGGCCCAATTGTGGCCCTGAGCCAACAGCCTACAGCTTTGTACAAGACTTAAGGCCCAGCGTCACTTTCTCAATTTATACTGTGGTGATAGCTCTGCTTTGATCAGGAGGCTACTCTTATTTAGGTGCTTCAGCCAGCTTCCTGTGTATTGAATAAGAAAGATCTGGGATGTTGCTAAGTGAGAAGTATTGGGCAGGTTTTAAGGCTGTGGTTCAACTTTGGGCACAATGTGATTACATATCTTTATTTCTACAGTCTCCAAAAAAGGTTGGTGATGACATCGCCAAGGCAACCGGTGACTGGAAGGGTCTGAGGATTACAGTGAAACTAACTATTCAAAACAGACAGGCCCAGGTATTTACATCTTGTGCTTGATTTGAGGGAGGGCAGAGAGGTACAATCCTCTGGGATTCCTGGAGAAAAAGCTGTCACGAGCAATTCTGTCTTAGTGGGAAGGCTTTGTTAAAGAATGTAGACTTTAGGGCAAAGATGTGTCACTTGTGTGACATTGGGCCAGCCATGTAATTTAATGTCTCCCAGGCTAGGAGCATTTTTTTTTTTTTTGAGACAGTCTCGCTTTGTTACCCAGGCTAGAGTGAGTCCGTGGCGTCAGCCTAGCTCACAGCAACCTTGATTTCCTGGGTTCAAGCAATCCTCCTGCCTCAGCTTCCCGAGTAGCTGGGGCTACAGGCATGCGCCCCATGCCAGCCAATTTTTTCTATATATATTACAGTTGGCCAATTAATTTTCTTTCTATTTATAGTAGAGACGGGGTCTCGCTCTTGCTCAGGCTGGTTTCAAACTCCTGACCTTGAGCGATCGCCTGCCTCGGCTTCCCAAGTGCTAGGATTACAGGCGTGTGCCACCGCACCCGGCCTAGGAGCACGTTTTTAGATGGTGAAAATTACTTGAACATGCGCAGTAAGGCCAGTGTCTGGCCCATGGTCTCAGAGAGCTGATGTGCATGGCAGTATTGATTCTCATACAGTGGTGGTATCATTCACTGGAGGTGGGATAGCTTATTCACATCAAGAATCTCTTCTGCAGATTGAAGTGGTACCTTCTGCCTCTGCCCTGATCATCAAAGCCCTCAAGGAACCACCAAGAGACAGAAAGAAGCAGAAAAACAGTGAGTTGCCTTTTCTCAGGATTTGTTTCATTACTGGTTTGTGATTGGTGATCATGGCTATGCTTTCCCTTTAATGAAACCCGGGTTGGCATGAGGATTGGGTGATTATTTGGTTAAGGCTATTAGAGCCAGGCACTACCAAATGGTGCCATGTAGCTTTCCCCAGTCTTGTGGAGGGCAGGTCCCATTCATAGTGCATGCTGCAGGGAAATGTCAGCTGACGGGGAAGCCACTGAGCACTGCCCCTTTAAGCAAGAGACCACATGCTACTGGCAGATACTTTTCTGGACAGCTTAAGTCATACCCATAGTTTAAACTTGTCATTTCTCATTTGTAAAACAAGGTCCTTGCCATGTCAGATTGGCGAAGACTTGGTTTGCCCATAGCCACCCGCCACTGCACCTACCAGTTCTGTTGGCTGGTGCAATCCAGTGGTGAGCTGATACTAAACCCCAGCTTAGGAAACAGGGTTGTTCTTCATGTGGATGACTCTGTGCCGAAAGCATGGGAACAGCCTAGAAATGGAGGAAGGATGAAATATGATCTGATTTACAGGCTGTGACAGAGCTTTTGCTGTTTTTCTTCTTCTTTAGTTAAACACAACGGAAATATCACTTTTGATGAGATTGTCAATATTGCCAGACAGATGCGGCACCGATCTTTAGCCAGAGAACTTTCTGGTAAGAACAGCATGACGTTGCAACTATTTTGACTGTAGTTGGGTGTTTTCACTGAGTGGCTAGCATTCTTCCCATTTGAAAGGGACTCTAAGACCCAGATTGGGATGTAGTGTTCCCTAGTGTTGAGGGGAGTGGCTTAAGATCTTGATCTGGTTGTGTCTGGGTATCAAGGGACCCATGGAGATCTTACATTCAGGGTTTATATGGCTAGATGGAGTTCTAAGCTTTGTATTAAGGGGTCAGGGATGGCATCCATTCCCTGCCTGCTGAGAACTCAAAAGCAGCCCCCTACCACATGTCAGGGTTGTGAGGGATAAGAGGCAGCACCCAATGCCACTTTTTCTTTACTACAGGGACCATTAAAGAGATTCTGGGCACTGCCCAGTCTGTGGGCTGCAATGTTGATGGCCGCCACCCACATGACATCATAGATGACATCAACAGTGGTGCAGTGGAATGTCCAGCTGTGAGTAATTCTTGTACCAGTTTCATTTGGTTGTGATAGGGGTGAATGCTGGGGAGAGGAGAGGTGCCTAATGTATTTGGAGATAAGCTGATAAGTTATAGAAGTGGTTAGTTGGGGCTGGAAGATAATCTTTTTAAATTCCCCTTTTACTGATAGAGCTTTTTTTCTTTCCTACAGAGTTAAAAAGTACAAAGGAAAATATTTCAATAAAGGATCATTTAACACCCACTGGGCCTTTTGATGTGGTGTCTTCCCTGAGGAAGCTGGCTCCTCCTTTGCAGTGTGGTAAATGGGGTCAAGATGGCAGAACCTGTGAAGAAGTAATAATCTGGGTATCTTGTGGGTAATAAGAGACCTGGAAAGGAAATGTATTTTGTAGACACTTAGATAACCTGTAGTTCAGCATGAGCACCCAGAGAAAAAGCAGCTCTCCATCCCAGACCAACTGAGTCTCTGGGTGGGCTGGGGCCCAGGACCCACATTTTAAGCCTTTGCTAGCCACCCCAGTGCACAGCCAGGGTTCAGAACCACTAAGATGACAACAGAAACCTGACTGTCAGTCCTTGACTAATCATTTCCTCATGGGAAAGTGAGGTTTAGGTTATTTGTTGCAGTAATTGTAGCTTACCTCTGTAGTTCCCAACATTTTCTCTAAACTTACTGCTATAAGCCACCAGACTATTTTCTGACTTTTCACATTTCCCAAGTCTCATGGTCGCTTCTGTTCCTCCTGACTAACTTACTGGAACTTAGGTTTATCATTCCCTTACATTTTTTTTTCCTCTCCCCCTCTACTCCCTTAGATGTTGGATTGAACCAACCTCAAGACACTTGAATAAGCTGCACACTAAGCAGCTTGATGAACTACCTGGATAGGGTTTCTGGGTACCAGACTAAAGGGAGTTGGAAGTGACTGCCCCAAGAACTTGGATTTCTCCCACATCACTCATTTCAAGTCATTCTTTTTTTTTTTTTTTGAGACAGAGTCTTGCTTTGTTGGCTAGGCTAGAGTGAGTGCCGTGGCATCAGCCTAGCTCACAGCAACCTCAAACTCCTGGGCTCAAGCAATCCTGCCTCAGCTTCCAGAGTAGCTGGGACTACAGGCATGTGCCACCATGCCCAGCTAAGTTTTTCTATATATTGGCCAATTTCTTTCTATTTATAGTAGAGATGGGGTCTCGCTCTTGCTCAGACTGGTTTCAAACTCCTGACCTTGAGCAATCTGCCCGCCTCGGCCTCCCAGAGTGCTAGGATTACAGGCGTGAGCCACCGCGCCTGGCCTCAAGTCATTCATTTTAAGTAGGGTTTTTAACCACTTCAGTAGGAGCCTTGACTATAGTTGATAGCCACAGATGAATGCGCACAAGCGTCAACTTTAGCTGACAGCTCCGATATGACTTATAATTTTTCATTTATCAAAATAAAATTGTGAACATTTTAAAATAATGTAATGAAAACATATATGTGTTACGTATTGTGATTTATAAGCAAAGCTGTAAAGTAAAATAAGCTTTCAGTGCTTTAAAGCTTTCCTCATCACACAAGAGCAAAATGGATTCGTCAATGCACAGCACAAACTTATTGTGCAGACTATGAGTGCTGGCTGTTGGCAAGGTTTTGCAGCCAGTAAGTGTTGTACCAAAGTGGTTAAGGCAGATGGAGAACTGGCATGAATGGGGAAATAATCATTCTGGTGCCCTAGAAGATACTGTACCAAGTCACTAAGGAAAAACCTGTAAGTTGCAAGGTAGGACCCAGTTCCAAGTGGAAGGGAAAAAGAAAGGAGGCCTGCAGCAAGAATCTGGATCTAAAAGGAAACTTTCATCAGGCAAAGGAAGAAAAGAGGAGCCTGGTGCAGTTGTGGACCCGCCACCTGCCTGCCTATGAGCCAAGCATGGCTATCTCTTCTCCCCATTCTTCTCAGTTCTCCCTGTCCTCCATGGAAAAGCATGTGCCTCTTGGTGTCTGCCTTCTCTGCCTAGCAATAACAAGCTCTACACAGGTGACATGTGGAGACTGGGCTTAGCAGTGCTTTCCTGAGGACCCCTTCCTGCCCCTCTCCCAGGGAGCTTCAGTATTTTAATAGTTGGCCCTAGAATCCCTTTACTCACCTGTATTCAAGCCCTCCCCAAATTAAATACCTTACTTCTCAAGTCATCTCTGGCCAATGCTCTTTGGTTCTTTTCCAACATTTCTAATTACTTCAAGGAGAAATGGCTATCATTGCTGAAGACCTAGAAACTTGAGTTCTTGGCCTGGCATGGTAGCTCTTGCCTATAATCCTAGCACTGGGAGGCTGAGGCGGGATGATCACTCAAAGTCAGGAGTTCAAAACCAGCCTGAGTAAGACCCTGTCTCTACTAAAAATAGGAAGAAATTAATTGGCCAACTAAAAATATATAGAAAAAATTAGCGGGCATGGTGGTGTAGGCCTGTAGTCCTACCTACTCAGGAGGCTGAGGCAGAAGGATTGCTTGAGCCCAGGAGTTTGAGATTGCTGTGAGCTAGGTTGATGCCACAGCACTCTAGCCTGGGCAGTAGAGTGAAAATCTGTCTCAAGAAACAAAGTTCTTTACTCATTGATTTGGTCACATTTTCTAACCAGGTTTGTGGTGTGTTTGCCACATAAAGTGCTTTAGCCCACTTGTCTGAGTAAAGGCAAATCTCTAAAATTGGATGAAATTTGAGTTGGATTGTTGGATTCTCTAGATGCTTAACTGAATGAAAATGTTAGCTCCCAAGCTTCCCACATGCAACATGTAAAATAGTGACTGTTTATTAAAGGTGCTTTTGCATGTGGCATTGGGCTACAGACTAAAATCTAGGTGTCCCCAGATGCTTCTAGGCCTTGAGCATTTATCTGAGATCACCCATCTGTCATGAGTTGGCATGTGGGGGGGGTTCTCCCCACTTCTATGTTCCCAGTTACTCTCCAGCATGCAGTCTCTGATGTCTAATGAAAGCTGAGCTACACCTGAAGGCCTTCCCACACTCACTGCATTCATATGGTTTCATGCCAGTGTGAATTCTCTGATGTTGACTAAGGGATGAACTCTGGTTAAATGCTTTTCCACACACACTACACTCATAAGGTTTTTCTCCAGTGTGAATTATATGATGTCGAATAAGGGCTGAGCTCTCACTGAAGAATTTCCCACATTCATTACATTTATATGGCTTCTCCCCAGTGTGAGTCTTTTGGTGGATTATAAGATTTGTGCTTTGGCTAAAGGCCTTCCCACACTCGCTGCACTTGTAGGGTTTCTCTCCAGTGTGCGTCCTCTGATGGTTTGTGAGGTTTGCACTCTGGCTGAAGGCCTTTCCACACGCATTACATTTGTAGGGTTTCTCCCCTGTGTGAATTCTCTGGTGCTGAATGAATGCTGCACAGTAACTGAAGGCCTTCCCACACTCAGTACATTTGTAGGGCTTCTCCCCAGTGTGAGTCCTCTGGTGGTTCGTAAGATTTGCACTATGACGGAAGGCCTTCCCACAGTCACTGCATTCATAGGGCTTCTCCCCGGTATGAATTCTTTGATGCTGAACAAGGGCTGAACAGTCACTGAAGGCTTTATCACACTCGCTACATTTGTAGGGCTTTTCTCCAGTATGAGTTCGCTGATGTTTTGTGAGGTTCGCATTCTGGCTGAAGGCTCTCCCACATTCACTACATTTGTAAGGTTTCTCTCCTGTGTGAATTCTCTGGTGCTGAATGAGAGATGAGCTCTGGCTGAAGGCTTTCCCACATTCATTGCACTCATAGGGCTTCTCCCCAGTGTGGCTCTTCTGGTGCTGAGAAAGGGAAGAACAGTAACTGAAGGCTTTGCCACATTCATTACATGTGTATGGTTTCACTCTGTGAGGGTCTATTATTTCTGAATTCTTTTTGAAGTTCTTGGCATGTGTTTCACATTTGCGAGTTCTCACCTCTGTTGGAACTCTCTGTTGTGGAGAGAGGACTGGTCTCAGATTGAAGCTCTTCCCAAGTTCACTGATCCTGTGGTCAGACTCCCTGGGGGCCATCTCTACATTTGTGTCTTGAGATGATTCTTCAGAACTGGCTTGCTCTGGAGGTGATTCAAGTATAATCTTCCAGTCTGAGAAACAGTTAGAAAAGCAATTATTTTGTGTTCCCTTGGTGGAAGAAATACAAAAGGCTAAAGGCGTTTTTGGCAAAGCTGTTACACAGGTTTGATGACTCACCTCCTTTCACCCAGAACATTTCTGAAATCATAAAATAGCAACCAAGATGTTTTTTCAGAGACATTCCGGCATTAGCTGCCATAGCACACTTTTGCCCCTTTCACAACTGCTGAGGGGATGAAATGTACACTAATCTGCCTGTTTCCGATGCAGTACTGCTCTCTCCTTTTGCCAAGTATTAGGTGCCTCCATGCTATCTTATCCTCACAATTCTCAGTGTGGTTTTGAGCAATAGGCTTATTGAGTTTAAATTCACTTTGAGACAGGGTCTTCCTCCATCACCCACATTGGAGTACAGTGGAACAATCATGGTTTACTGCAACCTCAAATTCCTGGGCTCAAGCAATCCTGCTTCAGCCTCCTAAGTAGCTGGGACTACAGGTGCACAGCACCATGTCCTGCTAACTTCTCTACTTTTTGTAGACACAGGGTCTCACTAGGTTGCCCAAGCTGGTTTTGGATTCTTGGGCTCAAGTAATCCTGCCTTTGCCTCCTAAAGTGCTGGGATTACAGGCATAAAAAGCCACTGTGCCTGGCCTAAATAATTCACTTTGAACTGATGATCAGTGCCAAGTAAGATGAATTTCTCCACCTATCACGTCAGCCAAATTAATGGTTAATTCTGGAGTGCTGGAAAGGGTGCAGCATAATGAGGTCTCATACACTGCAGTGGCTGTACCAACTGGCACCACTTCTCTGGAGAGAAGTCTGGTCACAGGTGTCAAGTATCTTTAAATATTGGCACTGGAATTCTACTTGTAAGAATTTATCCTAAGGAACTAACTATAGCTCTATGCACAAGAATACCCATCATAGCATCATTTGTCAAATGAGATGCAAACACCTAAATGTTTGATAATAAGGGAATATAGACAAGGAAGAGGGATACTATTTAGCAATTATAGGTCATGCTTTCATGTTTGAAGTGTGTACATTAAAATTCTGTTGTAGAAGGTATTAAAAATTTTTTTGAATATTCTCCAATGATATTATCTTATAATAAAATTTAAAAGCATACTTTCAAAGAATATGTAGTGATTTAAAAACAATATATTAAGTGAAAAGGAATATATAAAATTATATATGCCTATCTCACTTTTAGAAAAATGTATTACTGCATTTTGTGATATGAAGTTTGATGTGTGGGATTATAGAGGATCTTTATTTTCTTGTTTTCCAATTTTAAATAAACTTGAATCATTTTTTTTTTTTTTTTTTTTTTTTTGAGACAGAGTCTCGCTTTCTTGCCTAGGCTAGAGTGAGTGCCGTGGTGTCAGCCTAGCTCACAGCAACCTCAAACTCCTGGGCTCAAGCGATCCTCCTGCCTCAGCCTCCCGAGTAGCTGGGACTACAGGCACACACCACCATGCCCGGCTGATTTATATATATATATATATATATATATTAGTTGGCCAATTAATTTCTTTCTATTTTTATGGTAGAGACGGGGTCTCGCTCAGGTTGGTTTTGAACTCCTGACCTTGAGCAATCCGCCCGCCTCGGCCTCCCAGAGTGCTAGGATTACAGGCGTGAGCCACCGCGCCCGGCCAACTTGAATCATTTTTACTAGAAAAAATTATTTTTAATAGAATAACATTTCTTTTATAAAACCAGAAAATAATTTTTTAAGTTTTTGTTTTAAAGAGTTAATGATGATTCTTAACTTTCTTTGAGACCTCTTTGATATTAAGAGAAAACTTTAAATGTGAATTAATGTACATTCAATGCATAATGACTTTCTGGTCATTGAAATAGTGTTTGTGGTGATGCTGGTAATTTATGGATTTACCATACTAGCTATCGTTATTTATTTATTTATTTTTGAGACAGTTTTACTCTGTTGCTTGGGCTAGAGTGTCATGGCATCAGCCTAAATCACAGCAACCTCAAACTCCTGGGGTCAAGCGATCTTCTTGCCTCAGCCTCCTGAGTAGCTGGGACTAGAGGCACATACCACCACGCCTGGCTAATTTTTTCTATTTTTAGTAGAGATGGGTCTTGCTCTTGCTCAGGCTGGTCTGGAACTCCTGGCCTCAAGCAATCCTCCCTCCTCAGCTTCCCAGAGTGTTAGGATTACAGGCGTGAGCCACCTTGCCAGATGGAGTTATTGTATACTCCTTCTACTTATAGAAAAAAAGTTAACTAAAAAAGCCTCAGGCACCTCCTTCAGGAGGTATTCCAAAAGGTGGCATTGTTATCATAGATGGCAGCTTCATTCATGTTATTGCCCCTGAAGACCTTCCAGTGGCATAGATATGGAGGTGGAAGACAGTGATATTGATGATCCTGACCCTGTGTAGGCCTAGGCTAATGTATGTGTTTGTGTCTTAGTTTTTAACAAAAGTTTTAAAAGTAATAAATAAATAAATAAATTTAAATAGAAAAAATTTATAGAATAAGGATATAAAGAAGGAAAATATTTTTGTACAGCTATACAATGTATATTTTAAGCTAAGTGTTATTACAAAAGAAAAAGTTTAAAATATTTAGAAGTTTATAAAGTTACAGTAAGCGCAGGTCAATTTATTGTTAAGGAAAAAAGTTTTTTTATTTAGTGTATCCCAAGTGTACAGTGTTTATAAAATCTATAGTATTATACATATTATACATAATGTCCTAGTCATTCACTCACCACTCACTCATTGACTCGCCCAGAGCAACTTCCAGTCCTGCAAGCTTCATTCATGGTAAGTACCCTATACAGTGAACCATTTTTAAAATCTTTTTTACTGTACTTTTACTATACCTTTTCTATGTTTAGAGATACAGATACTTACTATCATCTTACAACTGCCTACAGTATTCAGTACAATAACATGCTGTATAGATTTATAGCCTAGGAGTAACAGGCTACAGCCCAGGTGTGTAGTAGTGTATCCTATCTAGGTTTGTGTTAAGTACGCTGTATGACATTCACATCACGATAAAATCACCTAATGGGTTTCTCAGAATATAATCCTGTTGTTAAGCAACACGTGACAGTATAATATTTATAATGCATTAAAATGCATAGAGCCCCAGACCTCCCAGTCTCCTAAAAGAAGAAGCCTGCAGGAAGGAATGGAGTTTTAGGGAGGTCTATGAAGCTTCTTTCCATAAGGGTCAGTTTTTCTTTATTTCTCAGAGGAGAGAGGAGCAAGGATAGTTCTAGGTAGCCTTTCTTTGAATGTCTATGCAGAATCTTGACCCAGAATGCCTAGGTTCCAAATCTTGGCTCCATCTCTTACTAGCTTTGTGACTTTGGGCAGATTATGAAATCTTTCTATGCCTTGGATTTATCATCTATAAAGCGGCTCCCTCACACAATTACAGTGAGAATTACATGAGTCAAGACAAATAAGGGACCCAGAACAGTGCTTGAGGCATAGTAAGTATCAGTGTGCTTGATGTTAATATCTTTTGGACCTTTTCCTTGTAAACCATCCTAAAGCACAAAACACGCTTCCTCTAAATTTCATGTGCATAGCAATACCAAATCTGCTGCGAGCAGATGTCCCCATCCCATTGCAGGTTCGGAGTGTCTCTATGTAACTTGGTATTCACTTGTATGTGGGTTTGACAGCTCTTATCATCTGAGTATAACATAGAAAGAAAAGAAAAAGGAAAAAAAACCAAGGGAAAAAGGGGCAATTCAGAAAACCACGTGATATTCACAAATGACTGTCCCTCAGCTAACCTCCCCAAGTGCTGGCTTCTGTGTAAGACTGTCTGATGACACCTCAGACCCAGCACAGCCAAAACAGAGCTACTGACTTTCCCTTTCAAGCCAGGATCTTTGCCAGTTTTCCCATTCCCCACTGTTCAGGCCCAAACACTAGGATCATCCTTAATGCTTCTTTCCCTCATATCCCACATCCAGTCCCCCAGCAAGTCCTGTTGCCTTTAACACCAAAGTACATCCTGATTCCTCTTGAAAGGCTGCCATCACCTCTCAATGGACTGTCCATGACAGCCTCCTCCTAACTGATCTCTCTGCTTCTACTCCTGATCCCTAAGGCCTATTCTCCACACATCTGTTGACTTCTTTCTAAACATAAGTCTTGTCCTTTTCCTGCTTCAAAACCCTTCAATGGCTCATTTTCTTAGGTGAATAAAATCCAAATGCCTTACCATGGCTACAGTTGCCCCACATGATCTGTCCCCTGTATACCACTCTCCTCCTGTATACTAAGCTTTGGCCACATAAGCTCTGGTCTTCTGATCCTAAAACAAGTCAAGCTCATTCCCACAAGGCGTGAGGTCTTTCCTCTTCCTCAGATCTCCAGCAGCTCCCTTCCCCTCTCTATGCCCCACTCAGCCCCCTACTCCAGTCACCAGTCTCTTGCCCTGTTTTATTTACTTCACAGCACTGATCAGCATAAAACGTATATCTGGGCCAGGAGTAGTGGCTCACACCTGTAACCCCAACACTTTGGGAGGCTGAGCTGGGAGGATTGCTTAAGGCCAGGAGTTTGAGACCAGGCTGGACAACATAGCAAGACCACGTCTCTACAAAACACTTAAAAATTAGCAGGGCATGGCCAGGCGCAGTGGCTCACAGCGTGCCTATAATCCTAGCACTCTGGGAGGCCGAGGCGGGAGGATCGCTCAAGGTCAGGGTTTTGAAACCAGCCTGAGCAAGAGCGAGACCCCGTCTCTACTAAAAATAGAAAGAAATTAATTGGCCAACTGAAAATATATATAGAAAAGAAAAAAAAATTAGCCGGGCATGGTGGCACATGCCTGTAGTCCCAGCTATCGGGAGGCTGAGGCAGAAGGATTGCTTGAGCCCAGGAGTTTGAGGTTGGTATGAGCTAGGCTGATGCCACGGCACTCTAGCCAGGGAAACAAAGTGAGATTCTGTCTCAAAAAACCCAAAAAACTAGCAAGGCATGGTGGCATGTGCCTGTAGTCCCAGCTACTCAGGAGATTGAGGTGGGAGGATCACTTGAGCCTGGGTGGTTGAAGGTGCAGTGTTCTATGTTGGCGCCACTGCACTCCAGCCTGGGTGACAGAGTGAGACCCTGTCTCAAAAAAAAAAAAAAGTGTATTCATTGTTATGTTTGCTCATTTTATGTTCTTCACTAAGATGTAAGCAGGGACTATGTATGTTGTCTGTTTATCTACCCCTCATAACTAAAATGATGCCAGGCATGTACCAAATACTTAATGCACACTTGCTGGCTGATATATTCAATGAATGAGAATGAGCAAAACTGACCAGCAAGGTCTGGGAAACGTCAGTATCTAACACAGAAGTCCCCAAAGTGAGTAGCAGAGTGAAAGGCTCTTTAAAGGCCTGGGTCTATCACTTGGGAGGGATGGTCCGGAATAACAGAGAGCTTGAGCCCAGCCCACGGAGGCACAGTGACGCAGAGGACAGACAAACTGTGGGTCACAGCAGAGGTGCCACTCTGTAGAGGCAGTGTTTAGTTACTTCAATAGCAGAGTGGAAACTTGCCTCCAATTAGTTCTAGTCACTATCATATAGCTCATATAACTGCAGTTGATAACTTTTTTTTCAGATAGGGTCACTCTGCTGCCTGGGCTAGAGGATGGTGATAAAGCTCACTGCAGCCTCCAACTTCTGGGCTCAAGCGATCTTCCTGCCTCAGCCTCCCAAGTAGCTGGGACTACAGGCACACACTACCACACCTAGCTAAATTTTTTAATTTTTTGTAGAGACAGGGGTCTCACTATTGCCCAGGGTAATCTCGAACTCCTGTCCTCAAGTGATCTACCTATCTCAGACTCCCAAAGTGCTAGGATTACAGGCGTGAACCATTGTACCCAACCAACAACTTTTTTCATATATACTAATTTGTAAAATAAGGAAGAAAGATTTCACCATTTTTCATATATGGAAACATGACTATATAATTCAGTGCTTTGCCCTGAATCCATGTAGCTAATACACAGCAAGCCAGGACTGAGTATGTGGCTTTCATGCACTGTGGGGTTGTGAGATGTATGTGTGTTTTCATCCACTGTTCTTGGCTCATAACTCCCACAGCCCTTGTCACAGTCTTTTGTTAGAATGTTGGGGCCCTTTAGGACTCAAAAGCAGACCTCAGGAAGGACTCTCTCTGACCTTCTACTGCTCTAAGCAGAGATCTAATCTGATTGTGGGTCATAAGATCCTCATTCCAGAGAGGGGCTGGCCCCATTCGCTAGAGAAAGGAATGCTGCACAGAGAGGCCAAGAAAGTCTGGACAAGCCTTGCTGGGCTTCCCTACTCAGTCTGTTAGTAGTAGATCATGCCCTTTTTGTCTAATTGCATTTCGACATAGTTGTCTATGTTTCATTCATGCCTATCCAGTGAGGTCTCCAGAAAAGGCCCAAGAGGACAGGGTTCAGGGAGCGCTTGGACAGCTGAACACACCAGGTTCCTAGAAGGTGGCATGCCCTGAGAGGACACGGAAGCTCTGTGCATCTTCCCCTGCCACATACCTCGCCCTATATATCTCTTCATCTGTATCCTTTATATTATAATAAGCCAGGAAACGTGTTTCCCTGAGTCCTGTAAGTCCTGAGTCCTGCCACTCTAGCAAATTAATGGAATCCAGAGGGGGGGTTTGTGGGAACCCCAACTTGAAGACAGTCAAAAGTTCCAGAGGCCCAGACTTGTGACTGGTGGGAAGGGGGCTGCTGCCTTGCGGGACTGAGCCCTCAAACTGTGGGATCTGATGCCATCCCCAGGTAAATGGTGTTGAAATTAAATTGGAGGGCCTCTGGTGTTTGTTATAAAAATGCTTATTTGATGTATGAGGGGAAAACAGTTCTAGTTTTTCCACTCTGATGTGCCCAGAGTTGCTTCTACTGCCTTACACTACTGCCTCAGAGCACAAGCTTGGGAATGCCCCTTCCCAACTTCCATTTCTAATAATGTGGTACTTGAACCTTTTGGGGCAACTAGACTGGGTTGAATACTGCTCCCCCATCATGCTCCTTGGAACTTCAGAATGTGTCCTCACTTGGAGATAACATCTTTGTAGTTGAGGCCCTACTGGATTAGAATGTACCTTTTTAAAAAACAGAAGTTTGGATGCAGACAGAGAACACCATGTGCCGAGAGAAGCAGAGATTGGAGTGATGCAGCTAAATGGCAAGGCACACTGAGGACACTCCTGGCATCCACCAGAAGCTGGAAAGAGGTGAGGAAGGATCCTACCCTAGAGTCCTCAGAGGGAGAACCACCTGCGGACCCCTCGATTTCAGACTGCTAGCCTCTGGAACCGTGAGAGGATCAATTCTGTTGTTCTACTCCACCCAGCTTGTGATGGCTATGGCAGCCCTAGGAAACTAACATAGTAACCTTTTTAGGATCTTGAATGCCTCTGAGACTATGAATACTTTTCCCAGAAAAATGCAATTGTTCCCCTAGCCTCAAAACACTGCATCCAATTTCTGAAGTTCCATACAGGGTCTATGGATTCAGGTTAAAATGCCCAAAACAAACAGGGGGTGTGCTGGGAAGGAGGGTGGCTCTTGGGAGGAGGAAACAGCAAGACCAATGAGGCTCCATGGAAGCAGTTTCAGCAAGTAGGAGAGGTGCTGGGGGCTCCAGTGACGGCTGAGGTAGTATGGGACAGGTTGCTTAGACAGAGGATAGTAAGATGGGAAGAAGACACGGTTCTAAGGAACCATGCAGAAAAACATGCCATAGGCTTTGCGCCCATTGCCTTATGAGCAAGAATAATTTATCACTAAAGAAATAAAGCAACAAAAAAATAAGCAGGCTATATTTTTAGAAAAATGTAAAATGTTATCACCTTAAAGTGGTTTAATTCATTTTTTACCTTTGATGCTTTAAGTCTCAAATATCCAAACTGACTGGATCCTCAGGGGAAAGCTAGAGGCCCTGCCAGAGGGCCCACTAGGGCAGAGGCTGTGATACGATGGTGGGGGAGATAGCAGCTTCAGATGAGTAGCAAGGGAGAAACAGGAGAAACTATGGTTTTCCTTCCTTCTCTTTTTCCTGAGTTTCTTTGTATCAGTGCTTTAGAAAATTCTGGCACAGCCATGCAGAGGAAAAGGAGGAGAAGAATCCAATTAAGGGGCAGGCAGAGCGGCAGCAGGAGCTGTCACAGCTGGTGGTATGGGTTAAAGGTGGGCATCGAAGATCCTCAGTGAGGCGAACCCTAAGCAGAGAATGTTCCAGGCCACCACGGATGACTCTTGTTCCCCACAAATAAGAAAGGATACTCTTCTAGAGGCCAGTAATACCACGTTTCCCCCAAACACCTCCCAGCCATGGATGACTTTGTGAGGATGAGGGAAGGAATAGTGAGCTTTGGAGTCAGACAGAACTTGCTTCAAATCCCAGCCTCGCACTTTCTGAGATGCACCAGAGGGATGGTGTTTATTCCTCCTCTTTCCTAGCGGAAGGTCTCTGTAGGCATACTTGGCAAACAGGTACTTTCACTTTGCTTCCCCCAAGCCTGCACCTCCCCATTCTCTTATTTCCCAGGAGTGGCGGGGTAGCCCTCAGGTCAGCTGTGAGGCTCTGTACCAGTGCATTACCCGCCTCAGCTTCATTTCCTCATCTGTAAAATGGAGATAATGATATCTACCTCAGAGGGCTATTACACTATCAAATGCACTAATGTGGGTTTCAAAGTGGCTTTTTCACCGGTGTAACGCCTGCTCCCTTACCTGGACAGGAACTTCGTAGGTCTTCTCCCTCCAACATCCATGGGCCTTCCCTTTGTTCCAACTGCGAGTTCACACCAGACTGGGAAACTGGAAGTCCTATTCAAGGGGAAAAATAGGCTCTAGAGATTGTGCTAAGTATAGACAGCCACCCAGAACTCAGGGGAGAGGAAATAGGCCAGTCAGGGTGTTTATTTCATTCATCCAACAAATACTTATCGAGCAGTTACTTGGTGTGTGCACAAAGGGATACAGGAGCAAATAAGAGAGACACGGTGCCAAGATCTTCGTAAAAATTTTCTGGAAGGAGCTAAAGAAACAGCCTCAAGGAGGAGTCATGAATGGGAACTAAGCTAAACCCAGATGGGAACTTACTGAATATGAGGAACTGACCTGAGGGCTACCCTGCTCCTCCTGGGAAATGAGAGAGCAGGGAGGTGCAGGCTTGGGGGAAGCAAAGTGAAAGTGCCTGTTCGCCAAGTGTGCCTGCAGAGACCTTCTGCTAGGGAAGAGGAGGAATAAACATGGTCCCGCTTGTGCATATGAGCAATTAAGAGATCTCCACATACTAGAAAGAAAATGCTGAGGATTTTCAAAATTAAGTGCATTCTTAATCTTTTTTGTTTTTGTTTTTGAGACAGAGTCTCACTTTTGTTGCCCGGGCTAGAGTGCTGTGGCGTCAGCTTAGCTCACAGCAACCTCAAACTCCTGGGCTCAAGCAATCTCTTGCCTAGCCTCCCGAGTAGCTGGCTATAGCATGCACCACTATGCCTGGCTAATTTTTTTTTTTTTGAAACAGAGTCTCACTTTGTTGCCCAGGCTAGAGTGAGTGCAGTGGCGTCAGCCTAGCTCAACAGCAACCTCAAACTCGCCTCAAGCGATCCTCCTGCCTCAGCCTCCTGAGTAGCTGGACTAGGCATGCGCCACTATGCCCAGCTAATTTTTTCTAATATATTAGTTGGCCAATTAATTTTTCTATTTGTAGTAGAGATGGGGTCTCGCTCTTGCTCAGGCTGGTTTTGAACTCCTGACCTTGAGCAATCCACCCACCTGGCATCCCAGAGTGCTAGGATTACAGGTGTGAGCCACCACGCCCGGCTACATTCTTAATCTTAAAGAAACAGTTTCCTTACCCAGGAGGACCAAGTTCCTGGACTTTTCTGGTATCCCCTCCTTGAATCTGTCCCTTGGGGTAGGGACCAGGTGCCTCCACCCCTCCTGGGCAAAAACAGATCTGGAGTTAGGAAGTGAGGACAGGAGCTATAAGGCATGCAGGTGGCAGCTTAAGCAGTTCGTGTAACAAATAGGCACTTACTCTATGCAGTGTACCCTCTGCTAGTTGAGGGGGAAAGCCAGGTGGAATGGGCAGAAACTAACCAGAGGAATACACCAAAGGTTTGTTTTCTTTTTTTTTTTGAGACAGAGTCTCACTCTAGCCTAGACTAGAGTGCAGTGGCATTACCATAGCTCACTGCAGCCTCAAGCTCTGGACTCAAGGGATCTCCCTGCCCCAACTCCCAAGTAGCTGGGACCACAGGTGTGCACCACCATGCCTAGCTAATTTTTCTATTTTTTGTAGAGACAGGGTCTTGCTCTTGCTCAGGCTAGTCTCAAACTCCTGAACTCAAGTAGTCCTCCTGCCTTGGTTTCCCAAAGTGCTAGGATTACAGGTGTGAGCCACTGCATCTAGCCAACACCACAGTATTAACACAAGCAGTAATTATCTCCTGGCAGGTCACACAGGAACCTCAGACACAACCAACAGGAAAATCCACCTTCACTTGCTGTTCTTTATCTATTCCAGCTCAGGGACTGGTTCCTCTGCTCAAGCTAGTCGCCAAGCAGAAACCTGGATGTTATCCTCTCCTTTCCTGCAGCTCCCCCAAATCAATTCCTACTGATTCTCTTTCTAATATCACCAGAATATACCCATTTCTTTCCATTCTCTGCCACTGCCTTTGTTATAAGCCAGTATCATTTTCCAGATTATCACTAGTCTCCTAATTTCTAATTTTACCTGCACTTCCAATCCATCCTTCACGCTGAGAATGCACTAAATGGAACAAAGAGGGCCATTTTTTTAAACTGAGAAATATTTAAAATATTTGGGTAACATGGAGTACTATTCAGCTCTAAGAAACAACGGTGATATAGCACATCTTATATTTTCCTGGTTAGAGCTGGAACCCATACTACTAAGTGAAGTTTCCCAAGAATGGAAAAACAAGCACCACATATACTCACCAGCAAATTGGTTAACTGAACAGCACCTAAGTGGACACATAGGTACTACAGTAATAGGGTATTGGGCAGGTGGAGGGGAGGGAGGTGGGTATATACATACATAATGAGTGAGATGTGCACCATCTGGGGGATGGTCATGCTGGAGACTCAGACTTGTGGGGGAGGGGGGAAATGGGCATTTATTGAAACCTTAAAATCTGTACCCCCATAATATGCTGAAATAAAGAAAAAAAAAAGAAAAAATATTTGGGTAACTTTAAAATAATCAAGAAAGTAAAATCATTTTAAAGATATAAATGTCATGAACCAAATAACAAAGAAACACTTACATAAAGGAAGAACTGCAGGGAATACAAGAAAAAATTGAAAATATATTAGTTTTGAGAGATGTTAAAATAACTCAGTCATGAGTTAGCCCAAAATGAACAAATAAACAAAAATAAAGATATGGAAGAACTGAGAAATTTAATAAGGTTGAGCTGACAGACCTATCAAACCCCACACTCTGCCATCAGACTATACTGGTATTTTGTGTTGACAAGAGACATGGATTCTGTTTTTATAAAGCACTGATCAGCCAATGGGCAAACAAATCAAAATAATAATTTTGGAATATATAAAGAAATAAAATCCACAGCCAAAAACTTTCAATGTAACAAGCAATGAAGAAGTTAAGACTTCAACTCAAGAAGTTAAAAAAATAATTTTAAAATAAATCTGAGGGCCGGGCACAGTGGCTCACACCTGTAATCCTAGCACTCTGGAGGCCGAGGCGGTGGATTGCTAAAGGTCAGGAGTTCGAAACCAGCCTGAGCAAGAGCAAGATCTGTCTCTACTATAAATAGAAAGAAATTAATTGGCCAACTAATATATATATATAGAGAAAATTAGCCGGCATGGTGGCGCATGTCTGTAGTCCCAGCTACTCAGGAGGCTGAGGCAGTAGGATTGCTTGAGCCCAGGAGTTTGAGGTTGCTGTGAGTTAGGCTGACGTCACAGCACTCACTCTAGCCTAGGCAACAAAGCGAGATTCTGTCTCAAACAAAAAAAAGAAATGATTTGGTAGAATACTCTTTAAAAAATGGGGAAATTTTCATTGCTAAGTGGAAATAAAAAAGTTACAAAGCAGAACAAACCCACATTGGCAAAATATAGGAAAGGAAGAAAATGAAAGAACACAAATCAAAATGTTCAGTGCTATCTCTTTGTGAGATTAAGGGTGATTTAAAAATTTTTCTTGGATTGCTGAGCCAGGGAGTTCTAAGTTGTAATGCGCAATGATCATGCCTGTGAACAGCCACTATATTCCAGCCTGGGCAACAAAGAGAAACCCATCTCTAAAAGAAAAAAATTAGAATGTATAATTTGTAACACCTTAGGTAGGTAGTTATATCTGGCTCACTGAAGTCTGAAATATTCTTATTTTTATATCTGCTGTCCACATTCATGCAGCTAAATAAAAATTTATGAACCCTATGTTTTCCACAATGCCTTGCCAAGGTTCTCTGAAGTCCATGTTGAGTTCACTGTGAGACCTGGTTCCCGTCCTCATCAGCCTATGTATTCAAAGCTATATCATTTTATTGTCCCAGCGCTAGGATTGCCAGATTTTAGTAAGTACGAATATAAGACATCCAAATAAATTTGAATTTCAGATAAACAACAAATATTTTTTTTTTTTTTTTTTAGACAGAGTTCACTCTGTTCCTGGGCTAAGATGCTGTGCATCAGCCTAGCTCACAGCAGCCTCGAACTCCTGACTCAGGCCATCCTTCTGCCTCAGCCTCCCTGAGCAGCTGGGACTGCAGGTATGCGCCACCATGCCTGGCTAAATTTTTCTATATATTTTAGTTGGCCAATTGATTTCTTTCATTTTTGGTAGAGACGGTCTCACTCTTGCTCAGGCTGGTCCTCGAACTCCTGAACTCGAGCGATCTGCCCGCCTCGGCCTCCCAGATGCTGGGATTATAGGTGTGAGCCACTGCGCCTAGCCAATAACTTTTAACTATAAATATATCCCATTAAATGACAAATAACTTTTTTAGTATATGTATGTGCCAAATATTATACAGGACATATTTATACTAAAAAAATTATTCATTATCTGAATTCATATTAACTGGACATCCTGTATTTAGCAATCTTATCAGTCAGTCTCTGCAAAGTTGACAAATACTGTATTTCTGAGAACCCCAGTTTGCCAGATATGTCTGCTTAGCAGTGAACACTACTAAGTTTTGGCCAAGATTCCCATCATGTATGTACTAATAACATGAAGAAGAGGAATTCTCATTATGGTGAGTGTGAGTAAAGGCACAGGATGAGCTTTGATGCTGTTGCTTCCTCTGCAGTTCCAAGAATAAGGTAGAAGCTCCTCACTGAAAGGAACAAGGGTTTCAGATCTTTACTGAACTCTCTAGTCTTTCAGGGAGAGCTACATGATATTCTTAAAATATTCTCAGGTTAGCTTTGCTAAAAAGAAACTTAGCAATTTCCCAGAATACTTGTATTTCCATGGATAAATATTGCTTTGAGATGCAAATAGAGTGTTGTTGGAAAATCACCAGACTGGAAAGTAGACCCGGAAACAGATGACCTAGAGGCAGTCCTGTTTATGAGACCCACATTTATGTTATAAGACATTTATGGATGAAAATTAAACAGGTAGTGAAGTTGAGAGATACATCTGCTTCTATAATAGTAAAAGTTTTGTTTTAAAAGCCTGCTAGCTGCATTATATTATGTTAAGAATAAAGGGAATAATCACTGATAATAAAGCTGCTGATATTTGTAGCAGAATAATATTTTATGGATCCTGTTAATGTTCATAATATTATAAAACACCATGTATCTGTCAATTTATTCTAAATGATTTACCATTCTTGTGGAATAAAAGCTCGTAAGAAAAATGCTACAGAAATCATACAGATAAACATTTGCAAGGTGCTACTGCCACTGTACCAGTATTAAAAATGTTCTATCTTGTATCTTTTACTAATTTTTATAATTTATATTGTAACCATTTGAGAACCTTATAGAATTATAGCTTCATTAAACTATTATTTATCAAAAAAAAATAAATAAAAAAAATAAAATTTTCTTTGTGTTTTCTAAATTTTCCAGGTTTTCTGCAGTGAATATGAATTACTTGTAAATAATTCATGTTCACTACAGAAAACCTGTAAAAAACAAAACAAAACAAAGTGCAAGCCTACCCTACTATTAATATTAGGAAAAAAGATTGTCTCTGAAAGCTCCGAGAGTTGATTTCTAGCTTACCTGGGGCCCAGCTGTGAGAAGACCAGCAGCCATCCTTTCCTCTCTTGTGCTTTCCTTTTGGGGAAGGGCAGTATCTGAAGAAGGTGGTACTGGAGGAAGAGAAAGAAACCAATGAGGCATAAAAGTTAGCAGTTTATGGAGTCACCTATTCTCACTATGAAGAGTTATTTCAAAGGACATAGTGCATGGGCTGAATTTGTAGACCTGCAATGCAATGTAAATGTTCCCATTCCCTCCTACCTCAGAAATTCCATCAATTCACTCTGATGTAAGGAGGCATTATGGTGTAACAGACTTTCAAGTTTCCAAGATCCACCAGTCACCAGCAGTGTGCAAATCATGTAACCTAAGTCTCATTTTTCTCATCTGTAGGATAATCTCTTGTAAGGTTGCTGTGAAGATTAAAGAAATATATAGACAAAGCAGCTGGCACAATGCCTAGCATGTAAATATACAGTTTATAAATATTATCTATTACTTAGTTCTTTGGAGAAACTAGCCCTGCAAATTTAAGACATTTGCTTAAATCAAAAGAGGAGGTAATGGCAGGGAGCACTGGCTCATACCTGTAATCCCAGCACTTTGGGAGGCCAAGGTGGGAGGATCACTTGAGCCCAGCAATATGAGACCAGCCTGGGCAACATAGTGAGAACTCATCTTCTACAAAAAAAAATAAAATATCTGGGCATGGTGGTGTGCGCCTGTAGTGCTAGCTACTCAGGAGGCTGAGGTGGGAGGATCACTTGAGCTCCAGAATTTGAGGCTGTAGTGAGCTATGATCGTGTCACACAGCACTCTAGCCTGAGCAAGAAGGATTCATCGCAGGAATGCAAGGTTGGTTTGACACACAGAACTCAATCAATAGACCATATAAACAGAACAATAACAACCCCCCATATGATCATCTCAATAGACACAGAAAAAAACATTTTATAAAATCTAACACATTTTCATGATAAAAAAAAACACTCAACAAACTAGAAGTAAAAGGTAACTTCCTCAACTTGATAAAAATGCACCATTGATCTCATACTTAATGGTTAAAGACTGAAAGCTTTTCTTCCTTAAGATCAGGAACAAGAGAAGGATGTCTATTCCAATTCTATTCAATATTAAATAGAAATGTTCTGGAATTAAATACCTAAAACTCTTAGAAGAATACAGGAATAAATCTTGGCAATAAATAAATTATTTATAACTGAGAAGTACAGGTGAAAAATAAATAAATAAATTATTGCCTAATCTTGCATTAGGCAATAATTTCTTAGATACGTAGACACCAAAAGAACAAGCAACAAAAGAAAAGACAGATACACTGAATTTCATCAAAATTAAAAACTTTGTGCGTCAAAGAACACAATCTATCTAAAAAGTGAAAAGAAAACCACAGATTGAGGGCAAATATTTGCAAATCATGTATCTTTCTTACATATCAACATCAAAGACAACTAAATTTCAAATGGGCAAAAGATGTGAATAGACATTTCTCCAAGCAAGACATATAAATAGCCACTAAGCACATGAAACTCAAAATCATTAGTCATTTGGAAAAAGCAAATCATAAGCACAGCACACTGAGAATTCACTAAATGGAACAAAGGGGCATTTTTTTAAACTGAGAGAAATTTTAAAATATTTGGGTAACATGGAGTACATTCAGCTCTAAGAAACAAGTGATATAGCACATCTTATATTTTCCTGGTTAGAGCTGGAACCCATACTACTAAGTGAAGTTTCCAAGAATGGAAAAAACAAGCACCACATATACTCACCAGCAAATTGGTATTAACTGAACAGCACCTAAGTGGACACATAGGTACTACAGTAATGGTATTGGGCAGGGGGAGGGGGAGGGAGTGGTATATACATACATAATGAGTGAGATGTGACCATCTGGGGGATGGTCATGCTGGAACTCAGACTTGTGGGGGGAGGGGGGAAATGGGCATTTATTGAAACCTTAAAATCCGTACCCCCCATAATATGCTGAAATAAAGAAAAAAAAAGAAAAAAATATTTGGGTAACTTAAAATAATCAGAAAAGTAAATCATTTTAAGATATAATGTCATGACCCAATAACAAAGAAACACTTACATAAAGAAGAACTGCAGGAATACAAGAAAAATTGAAAATATATTAGTTTTGAGAGATGTTAAATAACTCAGTCATGAGTGCCCAAAATGAACAAATAAACAAAAATAAAGATATGGAAGAACTGAGAGATTTAATAAGGTTGAGCTGACAGACCTATCAAACCCCACCACTCTGCCATCAGGACTACTACTGTATTTTGTGTTGACAAGAGACATGGATTCTGTTTTTATAAAGCACTGATCAGCCAATGGGCAAACAAATCAAAATAATAATTTTGAAATATATATAAGAAATAAAATCCACAGCAAAAACTTTCAATGTAACAAGCAATGAAAGTTAAGACTTCAACTCAAGAAGTTAAAAAAAATAATTTAAAATAAATCTGAGGGCCGGGCACAGTGGCTCCAACCTGTAATCCTAGCACTCTGGAGGCCGAGGGGTGGATTGCTAAAGGTCAGGAGTTCGAAACCAGCCTGAGCAAGAGCAGATCTGTCTCTACTATAAATAGAAAGAAATTAATTCGCCAACTAAATAATATATAGAGAAAATTAGCCGGGCATGGTGGCGCATGTCTGTAGTCCAAGCTACTCAGGAGGCTGAGGCAGTAGGATTGCTTGAGCCCAGAGTTTGAGGTTGCTGTGAGTTAGGCTGACGTCACAGCACTCACTCTAGCCTAGGCAACAAAGCGAGATTCTGTCTCAAATAAAAAAAGAAATGTTTGGTAATATCTTTAAAAATGGGGAATTTTCATTGCTAAGTGGAAATAAAAAAGTTACAAAGCAGAACAAACCCACATTGGCAAATATAGAAAGGAAGAATGAAAAGAACACAAATCAAAATTTCAGTGCTATCTCTTTGTGAGATTAAGGGTGATTTAAAAATTTCTTGTGACCCGGCTACATTCTTAATCTTAAAGAAACAGTTTCCTTACCCAGGAGGACCAAGTTCCTGGACTTTTCTGGTATCCCCTCCTTGAATCTGTCCCTTTGGGTAGGGACCAGGTGCCTCCACCCCTCCTGGGCAAAAACAGATCTGGAGTTAGGAAGTGAGGACAGGAGCTATAAGGCATGCAGGTGGCAGCTTAAGCAGTTCATGTAACAAATAGGCACTTACTCTATGCAGTGTACCCTCTGCTAGTTGAGGGTGGGAAAGCCAGGTGGAATGGGCAGAAACTAACCAGAGGATAACACCAAAGGTTTGTTTTCTTTTGTTTTTTTTGAGACAGAGTCTCACTCTAGCCTAGACTAGAGTGCAGTGGCATTACCATAGCTCACTGCAGCTTCAAGCTCCTGGACTCAAGGGATCTCCCTGCCCCAACCTCCCAAGTAGCTGGGACCACAGGTGTGCACCACCATGCCTAGCTAATTTTTCTATTTTTTGTAGAGACAGGGCCTTGCTCTTGCTCAGGCTAGTCTCAAACTCCTGAACTCAAGTAGTCCTCCTGCCTTGGTTTCCCAAAGTGCTAGGATTACAGGTGTGAGCCACTGCATCTAGCCAACACCACAGTATTAACACAAGGCAGTAATTATCTCCTGGCCAGGTCACACAGGAACCTCAGACACAGCCAACAGGAAAATCCACCTTCACTTGCTGTTCTTTATCTATTCCCAGCTCAGGGACTGGTTCCTCTGCTCAGCTAGTTGGCCAAGCTAGAAACCTGGATGTTATCCTCTCCTTTCCTGCAGCTCCCCCAAATCAATTCCTACTGATTCTTCTTTCTAATATCACCAGAATATACCCATTTCTTTCCATTCCCCTGCCACTGCCTTGTTATAAGCCAGTATCATTTTCCAGATTATCACTAGTCTCCTAATTTCTAATTTTACCTGCACTTCCAATCCATCCTTATAGCACCTCTGGGAGCCGAGGCGGGTGGATCGCTCAAGGTCAGGAGTTTGAGACCAGCCTGAGCAAGAGCAAGACCCCTGTCTCTACTAAAAAAAATAGAAAGAAATTAATTGGCCAACGAACAATAAATATAGAAAAAATTAGCCGGGTATGGTGGCCTATGCCTGTAGTCCCAGCTACTCGGGAGGCTGAGGCAGGAGGATTGCTTGAGCCCAGGAGTTTGAGGTTGCTGTGAGCTAGTTGATGCCACGGCACTCTAGCCCAGGAAACAGAGTGAGACTCTGTCTCAAAAAAAAAAAAAAGGAGGCCGGGCTCGGTGGCTCACGCCTGTAATCCTAGCTCTCTGGGAGGCCGAGGCGGGCGGATTGCTCGAGGTCAGGAGTTCAAACCAGCCTGAGCAAGAGCGAGACCCGTCTCTACTATAAATGGAAAGAAATTAATTGGCAACTAATATATATACAAAAAATTAGCCGGGCATGGTGGTGCATGCCTGTAGTCCCAGCTACTTGGGAGGCTGAGGCAGGAGGATTGCTTGAGCCAGGAGTTTGAGGTTGCTGTGAGCTAGGCTGACGCCATGGCACTCACTCTAGCCTGGGCAACAAAGTGAGACTCTGTCTCAAAAAAAAAAAAAACAACTGCTGAACTGTTTTCCATAGCAACTGCACCATTTTATATTATCACCAGCAGTGTATGAGGGTCCCAGTTTCTTCACATCCTCATCAACACTGTTATTTTCCATGTTGTTTATTAATAATAATGACTGTCTTGGTTGTGAAGTGTTATCTCGCTGTGCTTATGATTTGCTTTTTCCAAATGACTAATGATTTTGAGTTTCATGTGCTTAGTGGCTATTTATATGTCTTGCTTGGAGAAATGTCTATTCACATCTTTTGCCCATTTGAAATTTAGTTGTCTTTGATGTTGATATGTAAGAAAGATACATGATTTGCAAATATTTGCCCTCAATCTGTGGTTTTCTTTTCACTTTTTAGATAGATTGTGTTCTTTGACGCACAAAGTTTTTAATTTTGATGAAATTCAGTGTATCTGTCTTTTCTTTTGTTGCTTGTTCTTTTGGTGTCTACGTATCTAAGAAATTATTGCCAATGCAAGATTAGGCAATAATTTTTTATTTATTTTTCACCTGTACTTCTCAGTTATAAATAATTTATTTATTGCCAAGATTTATTCCTGTATTCTTCTAAGAGTTTTAGGTATTTAATTCCAGAACATTTCTATTTAATATTGAATAGAATTGGAAGAGACATCCTTCTCTTGTTCCTGATCTTAAGGAGAAAAGCTTTCAGTCTTTAACCATTAAGTATGAGATCAATGGTGCATTTTTATCAAGTTGAGTAAGTTACCTTTTACTTCTAGTTTGTTGAGTGTTTTTTTTTTTATCATGAAAGTGTGTTAGATTTTATAAAATGTTTTTTCTGTGTCTATTGAGATGATCATATGGGGGGTTGTTATTGTTCTGTTTATATGGTCTATTGATTGAGTTCTGTGTGTCAACCAACCTTGCATTCCTGCGATGAATCCTTGTTGCTCAGGCTAGAGTGCTGTGTGACACGATCATAGCTCACTACAGCCTCAAATTCTGGAGCTCAAGTGATCCTCCCACCTCAGCTCCTGAGTAGCTAGCACTACAGGCGCACACCACCATGCCCAGATATTTTTTTTTGGTAAAA